TTTGAGCAAGCTCAGGGAGATGGTGAAGGACAGGGAGGCCTGGCGTGCTGCAGTTCACAGTGTCACAAAGAGTCGGACACGACTTAGCAACTGAACAACAATCAGCACAGGAGTTTGTGGTAGGACTTTTTTTTTTTTTAACTAGAAAATTTGTAAGGTGACTGATACTGGTCTGTTTTCTAAAACTCATAATCTGAAATATTTAGTCATGAAATGACTCTCTCTCTTTCAACACACCACTCTCAGCTCTTGTTTAATTCTTTTCTCTTTTCCCAACGTTCTCCCTTTAAACACGTCTCCTTTTTCTTTTCTAGCTACATCTCCTCTTGGCTAATTTCCTTTTTTGGCAATGCTTCTTCAGGCTATTTCCCTATGAGCCAACCTTAGACTGAGATATGGCAATTTTTAATCTGTAATCTTTTTAGAGATTCCTTCTGGTTCTCTTTCCTATACTCTGAATTGGCCTATCAACCTCCTTTACATTCAGCATGACCTTCTAACCTGTGACTAGGTTCTTCCTGTCAGTTGTGTCACATAATTGATTAATCCAGTTGTTGTTGCTGTTCAGTTGTTAAGTCATGTCTGACTCTGAGACCCCATTGACTGCAGCACACCAGGCTTCCCTGTCCATCACCAACTCCCGGAGTGTGCTCAGATTCAAGTCCAATGAGTTGGTGATGCTATCTAACCATCTCCAATATTTCTATTTATTGTCATTTTGCTGTCGATTGAACTTTGGCTTTCCCATTATCAGTTCCTTCCTCATCCCTCCCCTCATTTCCCATACCCCAGCCCTCAAACTTTCAAGCAGACTGATAAAAGAAACTATTATCTGTCAGGTAGCATTCTCCTCTCCAGTTAAACTATAACCTAATTTACATTCCTTTGGAAATTATCTCTTAATATATTCATGCTAACTTATTCTCTTTTATATGAAACCTATTTACTGCTCATACCAATCCATTTATATTACAATATTTTTATAGATATTAAACATACAACTTTAAATAAGCAGAAAGGAAGTTATCTGAATATATGTCTTTTTTCTGAATCTATTTCTGCCAGGTCAAAATCTATGAAAATTTTAAGGCTCTTGGTTTATACTGAAAAAAACTGCTTTTTAGGAAGATTTATATTAAACTATGCTACCACTCTTTTAGCACACTCTCCCTAGTGGTTATGAAAGAAATAAAGTATTTTTATATATTTATTGATCAATGTGTTTCCTGCTTAGTAAAATTTCTGTATATGTCTTTTGCCAATTTTGCTATTAGAGCTTTTTGGCATATACAATTTATATTACAATTGATACTATTTGTTTCAAAGTGATTCAGATGTTAAGGCTCTTAATCCTGAGTTTCTGCAAATACGTTTCACAATTTGTTGTCTGCCTTTTAATTTGTTTATGCTGATTTTGATATTTTGAAGCTAATACCGACACATTTTTGTCAGATCTCTCTTTTTCTCTCAATCTTTTTTCATTGCTTTTATTCTTAGAAAGGCATTCTCCCAGAAAGAAACTCTTTTATACTTTCATCAAAGATAATTAACTTCTTAATCACATGCAGTTCATTTTGCTCAATAGGAAGTATAAGCAAGCAGCCCAAAGTCACATCTCTAGTGAGTGACAGACTTGGGTTAGAATTCAGACCTATATGGGTTCAATGTTCTTGCTGTTTCAATCCAACTCTCTTGCCTCTGAAATGATAAAGATCATTTCTGGTGTAGCAGTCCTGACGTGCAAGTTCGTATGACAATAAGCTCCTAAACTGGTAGCCACAAATGAGTAATAAGACATTTGCAATGAATATAACAAAAGAATTAATGCTATCATTCTATATCATAGAAAGAATGTCTACACATCAAAATTCATGGGCTTCAATACAGTTGATCTAAAATAAAAATTGCTTTTTAATATGTTATATAATAATAAAATAACGGTTTCACTTATATAGTGCTTACTATGTAACACAGTTTTTAGGTGCTTTACATAGTATATATTAACTAATTTCATCATTACGAAAGCACTTTGACATAGTAGTGTTATTATCTCCATTTTATAGGTGAGGTATCTGATAGCAACTTTCTCAGGATCACATATCAAATAAGTGGTGAAACTGATCAGGCAGTTTAGTACCACAGTCTTTGCTCTAATACTACTTCTCAGACTATTTCTTACAGGAACACTATTTCCCCCAATATCAATATTTTTATGAAAGAGAATTAAAGTGAGCAACTGGTCTAGGCAAAATTGAGTATCATAGTATCAACAGTGCATGAAAACTATTTTGAAAATTTAGCAGTAACATCTTACAATCAGTAGTAAGTTTTAAATTTAAAAACAATGCATTATAAACCCCCATTTTAAATATGAAACAGCTGAAACCCAAAGACATTAAATTATGTGTCTGTAATCACAGCTTACTAGCAAGAATAGGACTAAAACTAGATCTCTTGACTTCTATCTAATATCCTTTCCAGTTTCTTCCACACCACCCACACAAGGAAGAAATGCTCAAGATCACGTTTATCCCATGTTTGGGTATTTCTGTGTCAAGCTCCAAGAACGTTCCTAACTCTGTTACCTTACAGTTGAATATTTAAAGGCTTCAAAGAACTAAGTTTAAGTATTATACTCTATCAGTAGTAGTTTTCATACATGATGTGATGTTTTTATATATGTCCATAAACATATATTTCATTTGAGACTTTTTGGTTAAAAACCACAATATTACTTAATAAAATGTTAAGCTTAAACTTACATAAAATATTTCTCAAAGTTACTGTGTCTCTCATAACATTTGAGCTATCTAACACAGTACTGAAACAGAGTTGATATCATGTGCCTCATTATGAACTGAGTGATTTACATTTTCTGTAAAATTTCACTGTAGTAACTAGAGTTATGTTTTCCCATGACTAATCAATCTTGTAGAAAAAAATTTTTTTTTTCACACCACATGGCTTTCATGATCTTAGGTCCCCCACTAGGGAATGAACTCGTGGCCTTGTCAGTCAAAGTGCAGAGTCTTAACTACTGGACTGCCAGGGAACTCCCCGTGACTGAGCAATCTTGAGTGCCTATGTCTTAGATTTTTGTTAATAATATTATGTCCATTAAATACAGAATGTAACCAAGAACAGAAAATATCTATTAAATGGATAAAATATATAAATAAAATGATTGTAATAAATTGAAAATTTGGGGATATTTCAAAAACAGTTTATATGTACATTTAGGTGTAAACACATATACACTTAGGTCAAACTTCCCCTACAATGAATGCTACTTCTCTTACCATTTTAGGATACAAGTAGAACAAAATGTCAAATGTAAGCTCATAGCACTCAAAATATGCCAAGCAAACATAATAAGAATTGAAGGGCAAATTTGAAATAATACACACCAATGAACAATATTCAGAATAATCAGATAAACAAAACAAAAAAGGAACCATTTTCATGCTAAGAATACTATAATTGAAATAATTTAGATCAGACTTCTCTCCAGAGCTCTGCTCCAGACCCATATATCCAAACACAGATATTAAATGAATATTCCAGAGAAACCTCAAATTAACCCATCCCCAAACTGAACTCTTTATTTTGCACCTTAAATTTTTGTTCAATTCATATTCCCTGTAAGATAAAATATACCACCACCTATCCAAACATTTCAGTCACCCAAGATTATTATCTTATTTTTCCGTGCAACAATAACATCCAATTGATAACTAAGTCTTATAGATTCTACATCTTTAAATAACTTCTCATGAATCAACTGCCTCTACTGATACCTTAATTCAGCTGATTTTGATCTCTCAACTGATTTATGCAACACCCTTATAAATGGTATTTCTGCTTCTATAGTTCCAGTCCATTTCTGACCAAGCTTCCAGGTAGTCTTTCTAGAAGCAAATATCTGATTGTGTCCCTCTCTTGCTTTATACACTTCAATAACTTACACAGACTTCAGAAACCCTCCCGTGCCTACTTTTGTCTAAGTAAGTCTGAAGCCATTCTGCCACATTGTTTGCTCTGCCTGATATATTCTGTACACATAAGGCCAACATATTTCTAGCTTTCAATATTCAACTCAAGGATCATTGCTTCCATGAAGTCTTTCTCAAACTAAGACCCACACTTCTCAGGGGGAAATGATAACACTATCCTTTGTGATTCCACTGTAGTCTACACATACATATAAATTATATGTATGTGTTTCTTATAGCACCTGTAATACTATTGCGCTATGTTAGACTCATACTAGAAAAGGCCCAGAAGGAAGGGGGCTCTTCTGTGTGCCCTGTGATTTCCACCGAGATCAGAACCACACAGCGAGGACTCAATAGATGAGTGTTGAATAAATGTTCAAGTTTTAGTTCGTGTGACTTCTTTCGTGAAACTGTTTGGCCGTCTATTCGAATCAAATTTTATTTGACTTTATACCTTTGTAGAACATATTGCTGAGTCATCCATTTTAGCACATCAACATAGCATGTTATTCACACATTTTAACTCTGTCATACTGACAGCTTGTTTAGGGCATGTATTAGGTCTTTAATATTTTCCATGTTCTAACACACTGCTGAACTCAAGACAGAAATAAAATACTTTTAGAATTATGTATTAAAAAGTTAAAAATAAGTTTTAAGCCTAAAAAACATTGAAGTATGATTAATTTGTAAATTTAACCCACCTGACTATACATAAACATACATATATTTGAATATGGAGTTAGTTACCCAGTTATGGAAAAAATGTATATATTACTTCTATGACATACAATTAATCATTTTGTTTTTATTCATCTAATTGGAGCAGTTGTTGCTAAAAGTTGAATATACAACTACCTAAAATAAAAATGCCTGCAGATTTAACATTTTGTTAATATAGGAAAAGAATGAAAAATTATAAAATAAGTAAAATATAGTAAAAAAAATTTCTAAGACAAGTTAGATAAATGAAAAATAACAAAGAAAACATTAGAAGAGACAGACCTGCATGTCTTCTCCTTGTGGCGTCCACTTCTTCTGCGATCACATCGTGTAATGGACAGACATAGACAAAGGAGATGGGTGTGAGTGGATGTACTCAAAAGGTAAAAAGTGACACTGAAGGAAAGGGCCTGAAATCATTTTGAGAAAGAATCCTGTGCACAGTTGTAGGGAAAATATAATCAAATACATACCATATTAAAAGAAAAAAAATAACAAAAGAACTGATGGTGAACTGGTTAAGCTACTATGGGTTAGCAGAATCAGAAAAGTAAAGTTAGTGTAGAAATAAAGAGGATTCAAATGTTTACAATTATTTATGGACAGCCAATCCTGAACAGTGATGCTGAAGAAAGATATCATTAGTAAAAACAACAGTACTTGTAAGACCATATTGTTTAAGACTTTACTAAGTCCATTTCAGATCTGTAAAAATGCTTTTAGAATTTTTAGTTATCATTGAAAGGAAGGATTTAATTGAATAATCTTCAAAAAGAGCAATAAAAATAGTTTATTTCTGTGCCCTTCAAGTTTCCTAAATTTGTCAGTACATATATGAAAATAAAGTATGACCATTAGGCCAATAATTCACAATACTTCAGTACAAAAACATATCATTATAAAAATATCCTAGAGTAACAAGTATAATAAAACTCATTATAAAAGACTAGCTGAAATAAAAGGTTTTATTTAAATATTAATTATTCAAGTTAACATTCAATTAAGATAAATTTTCTTTGATCATATTTCCTTATAAGGCTTATTTATTCAGAAAATTATTAGAGACATCACAGAACAGATTATTGATGTTCTCATAGAAATTTGCCCATCCAAATCCAACACCTCCTATAGCAGATATGGCACATGTTTAGGAAATACTTCTTTATCCATTGATAGTGGAAAAGTTCAGAAGACATTTTATACAGTGATGAAGCAGGAAATGTTTGGTAAAGTGAGTATTCTAAGAAAATTTTTTTCCAAAGATATTAAAGAGTTAGTATGACTGATACAGATAAACATTATAACACAAAATCAAAATGGCCTATTTTAATTACTTTCTCAGCTTCAAATCAGGTGATAGAAATTCTTAAATCAAAACACCACACTCATTTCTGCAATACTTGTATCATGGTTTTTGAGTGATTTATAGAAAAACGTGTTATATTAAAATATATTTGGAATATTGATATACTGAAATTATAACTCTTAAGAGAAAGCATTCTTACAACAAATTTATCTCTTTCTGAATAGTGAGAAAATGAAAATTTTCCACTAGGAAAGAAGTACTGAGGTAACCAAAGCTTTATGTTTTAAGAGAGAAGAGAAATCCTGGTATGAATTTTAGAGATCTGAAAAAAATTACACATTTTGAAACGTAATGTCATTTTGATTACTATGCAAGCACACTTTTGACCCACTTAAAAGTAGACAGTAAATCTCATCACAATTGTAATACAAATTAGACTCTGCCAATAGGATCAACCACTAGAAAAGTATTATCTTCTGAAATACACTCATAAATTAACATGCTATATACCATATTTTCTTTTGCATCCCAGTCCACCCATTTCTCAAAGGAGATAAAATAGGAAAATATGAGCTATATTAATACAATAAGTTAATGCTGAGCCATATTAATATCATATTTTGCATCATTTCCTATAGTAAAACCTTCCCTACATACATATTTACCACACTACTAAAGCAGCTTCCACACTTGGTAAAATGATATTAGTATGAATTGGACAAAATAACCACTTAAGTATATTCCACCTCTAAGAAAATTTTTTTTTTTTTACAGAAAGCATAAAAGCAACATAAATAAGTGGAGCTTCTTTTGCTACCTAGCATTTTCCTGTATTTTGAGTATTTTATAATGGCATTAAGGCAATATTTCTCATGTTGTATGCATTCAAAACATTCAAAATTCTTTCTAACCCATTTATTAATTTCTTATAGAAAATAACTGAAGCACACAGACTTTGAGTGACTTACCCAAGGTCATAAAATAAGCTCAAGGCCAGAACCAGAAATAGAACACAGGTCTCCTGATTACAGATCAATTTTCTTTCTACTAGATGCTATATGACCCAATAAAAACATGTGAAATAAAAAGTCAAATAAGAAAAAAATAAATACTTTTTCATGGTAACACCTGAACTTGATATTTTATTAACTAGACACTTTTAAAAAAAGAGGTACATGGTATAACTAACTATGCAAGTAATTCACCAATGCTTTTTACTCTTGTGAAGAATATGGTAATACTTAGCAACAATAATTTAATTATTTTGAGAAAATAATACAAAATTTATACTATAGAAAAGGATGAAAATGAAAGATTTTAACAATGACCTCACTATGAACTGAAAGTACCTATTAAATCATTTTTCCATTACTTATGTCAACATGATCACTTAATAAATAGATTTTAATCTTACATAAAAATCACTTAACTTTAATTAGCAGACCAAATATTAATTTAAATCATAAAATTTCAATGAATAGCTTTCAGTTATACCAAATATATTTTTTAAATGTTTGGCTTTCCTGTCTTCTTTGTGGTTATAGCTTTTATTATACACTGCTTGTATTAAAACATCCACTTTTGAAAAGAGAAGCTTATACTCTACATCCTTTAAGCAGCTGTGTCATATTTCAATGTCAATAGCTATAAAAACTTATTTCACATATATTATTATAATAAATTACAGACTTTCGTGAACCTTGAAGAAGCTAAAAGTACTCCCTTCACTTTTCCTATTTCTCTACTTTTCCTTTAATCCTTACTTTGTGACAAACATTCTACCTTCAGTGCTACTAATAGCAATTCTAATGAGAAATCTTTCTAACACTTCATTTAACCAATAACCAGTTAGAGAGATTAAAGACAGTAAAAGTAAATCCTCTCTTAGGGATCTATTACTGTCACACTATAGCTGGTTGTGATCAGATAGATAGATCTATATAGATATAGATAAAATATACACTTACAGCCTTAAGACTTTAAGTGTATATTAGAACTTGCATGTAATTAAAAGTTAATAATAAGTATGAGGGCTTTTTCCTGGAGGAGGAAATAGCAACCCATTCCAGTATTTTTGCTGGAAAAGTCTATGAATAGCAGAGCCTCAAGGCTATAGTCCATGAGGTTGCGAAGAGTCACAAGTGACAAAGAATGCACACATGAGGGTTTTTTAAAGGTCATAGCAACTTTAGAATGTTTCCTTTGAGGGAGGGAGAGATATTTTTCAAAATAAAGCCTAAGCAAAGCATCTACTTAGTAGGTATCTCAACAATATAAAGATCAGGAAAGATATAGAATAAAAAATCAAAATGTTTATCAAAGTTTGCAGATTTCAAATTAAATTTCCCTATTGTGACAAAAATCTTGTTGAAAAACTCCTCAATCTAAGTGATTCAAATTTGTTTTCTAAACTAGTTATTACTTTCCATAATTTTGCAACAACCTTAAGATTATTGAATATTTACAAAAGTTTCTACCTACCTATTGGAATAAGTGAAGCATAATCTTTTGAAATATTAACCTATTTTTAAAGTTAACAAAAATATTTATCTTTTAAATGTCTTTTATTATTCCTAGCTGTACCAGATTTTTTTCTGATTCTATCCTTAGAGTCTTACTTGTAATGCAATTTTAAGTGCAGAAGAAAAATATACTTAAGAGTACTTATTGAAGGAGTTTAAAATAATTGATTTCCAAACTATAGCATGCTCTTTATAATAAAAAAGAAAGTCACTTAAGTGCAGGTTTGGCCTTATAAATTTATCTGTATGTTTAACGAAAATGGAACCAATTTTAAATGAGCAAGTAAACTCATAAATCATGAAAGCTCACATTATTCCAGGAGAATATCCTTGTTAACAATGCTGTATTTACATCTGAAGGTGTCAGCAGTACTTAATTCTAAAATTTCCATCAGTTGATTTGCATTCTATAAAATATCTAGCTTGTTTTCTATCACATTCTTTTCCCAAAATAAAGTACATTCATTCTAAAACAATCCAGAAAGAATCAGAAATTACCAACCTTAATACTAACCAAGAATACAACCTTGATTCTTTTTTCCCAGATAAGATGGATTAGACTAGCATCTAATTATAGACTAGCATCTAATTATAGACTAAATTAAAATATTTAGTCTGAAATAAATTGTTTCTACTTTTAAGAAAGGTTAGAGTATTCAAGAATGAAAGAAAACAAAAGCACAAATATCAAAATAATCAAGGAAAAAATTTAAGTATAAAATTCACTAACATAACACCCTTTTGAATATTTAGTTTGCCTCACGATAAATTCTATAAAGCATAACTCCAAAGGTTGAACTAAGTAAAAAAAAAAATCCCTGCCTTCACCATAGTTGCAATCTATTAAAAATAAAATATGGAAACTCTGTTTTGGTAAAAATTAAAAGTTAATACATGAAATCATACAATGCTAAAACTAGGGGCTTATGCACAGAAAATGTTACAGCAAGTAGTAAAACATAACTTGTTACTTTGAATATTCTCAATTTCCAAAAAAATTGTATGATCATACAGTCACCCAGGAAAGTGCTTCATTGCCCTCACGTTTCCAGAAAGTCATAAGCACTTATTTCCAGATAAGATACAGCAAGGTAAGTAGCACTGCCATGTTTCAGGGTAACTATACAGGAGTAGCTAAGTCAATTGTAGATTTTTCTAGCTGCAGCATACTTTCCACTTAGAAAAAGACAAATCAAGGTGGACAATCTTTGTTTATAGATAGTTATCAATTGATCATCACATATATCAGAAATCATTTATAATTACATCTCAAAGTATTGTAGATTTTGAACTATTTAAGTCCAAGAGTTTTTTTCTTTGGAGAAAAAGAAATTTTATCAGTCTAAAACATTCATTTAGTTTAACTGAAGTTAGCTTTTGCACCAGACTACTTTTGAGTTTAAGTAAAATATGAGAGAAAATATTTTATGTAAAACTATGCTCTTTTCCCATATACTATGCTAATTACTAGAAGAACAGATAACTCC